CCACCCCGCCATCGCAGTATTCACAAGCCACGCCTGGTACCTTGAGGTATGTAGAAAAAACATGTAAAGCTCTGTCTATGGCCCAATCACCGATTCTCTGAATCAGCATCAAATCTTCAGATTATGATTTGGCCATATTGATTTGGGACAGTGATCTGAATCAATGAATCAAATCACTGTGCCCGATTCGGGCCGAATCCAAATTGAATACGGCCCATTTCGCACACCCCTAACAGAAAGCAGGTTGGACCATTTTGTATGATCACTTTTAAAGCAGAATTGTCTGTTGAAATCAGTGAGGAGTTCTGACTAATAATTAATGGAAGGTAACCGGACAACATGGGCTCTTGTCTTCAAGGGCTCAACTCTGCAAGGTGCTGAGGTTTTTTTAATCTAAATTCAGTGAGATGTTCAGCATCCGGCAGGACTGAGCCTTAGGGCCTGCTGCAAAGTTCCAAGCTTAAGAAAGGGGACAGAAGAAATGAGGCATTGAAAAGAAACGAGACAAAAAGAATAGCTGGGAGGAGGATACAAAAGAACAGTCCAGATGGAGACTGTAGGCTGCAGGAAGTGAGTGGTGCTATAGGAAGGGATAGTTATGAAGGACTAAGGATTAGTAAAATGTAATGGCCCAAGAATATCCAAATTCTCTCCTGGTTAAATAGGCAAAACTCAGTTGAAGCCCATGGAGCTGTGCGCATTTGTATCATGGGAAAATTTATTCTGACATCCTTTCTATATTGTATACTCATGTCTACATGATTTTTTTTACATGCCAATTTGTTAGATGTTTTTATGCTCCTTTTTCATTTCTTCCCTACCACCTTCTATTTTTATAATGAAGTCTTAAATAGAAAAAAGAGAACCATGTGAGTACCCCTTTATTAGAGGAAATGCACTTGTTCTAAAACTCAGACAAAACAAAATCTGTCATTTTTCTCAGTCACACTGTTCGAAGACAAAGTATCAAAAGAGGAGAAACCAGGCAGATGCCAAGTTTACCGCGCACCTCTGAGAACATGGTTCGAGAAGAACACTTCTCGAGTAGAAGGGTAAATGTGCTTTCTCTTCTACTCACAATGCTCTTGGGAGATGAACTGTTAACCTGTGGTTGCTTTCCATTTCTATTTTCATTTTCCATTTCTATTTTCATTTTCCATTTCTGTACTTAATTTTCTTCTACTAGATGCAAATACCTTATTCTAGGGATTTGTCTGACTCTCAGCTTGTTTGGAAGGCTTTATTCTGATCCATTTTGTGTTCTCCCCTCCTGTCCTTCAGCCCCAACTGAGAATAAGCTCCTTCCAGTGCTCCACTGAATAGCTTCCTCTTTAGTCTTCATATGAGTGTGTGTGGCAGGGGGTTTTCCATGTGAACGTTCAAGAACTTGTACTCTCACAGAGATATTAGCAAAGGGGACTGTGATCAGTTCATCACCCAGTACCACCCCCATGGCCCCGGTTGCATGAAATCCCTATGTATAAGTAGCCTCTTCTGAAGCTGAATATTCTAGAAAGCTAACAGAATAGCTTAGGTCAGCATGACAAGAGATTGCTTTGATCCCTGCATATTCCATGAATGAATGAGAAAATGCATGCGAACGAGTTGTGCAGTTGCAAAAAATATTGAGCAGTTGCAAAAGATGTGACAGCCTCTTGAGCAGCATTTTGAAACCCGACTTCCAAAGAAATTAACCCTGAAAAACATAAATTGACACCATCATGGTTTAAAGAATAACTTTACATAAAATGTGTCTGGAAGTTTGGCATCTGTTAGACCCAGGCCAAATAAATTCCTTTCAAGAGATCAGCTTCTAAAAGTACAGAAGAACACAGCTGCATAGTTGAAGTGATATCGTACTCAAATGAGTGGACAGAAAGGAAATTATAACCAGATTGTTTTGAAGGATATTGTGAGACAGTGTTTTAAGTGTTATTTTTAAATCATTTATTTCCTATTCAAGCTAAGTCTTGTTTCTTTGTGATTTCCTGCAGCCAAATAATTGTTTTTTGCTGACATTCCTCCCTCTAAAACTTCCACCCTTGCATTGCAGAAACAACTAGAGGACTATTTGACAAAAATCTTAAAAATGCCTATGTACAGGAACTACCACGGAACGGTAAGTAGTATATATTATACTTTAAACAGCAAAGGGATGTTCTCTTCACTTAGAAATACTAATAGAATAAGAGAGATCCTCCTGCTTTCTTCCAGATATGCAAGAAGCATTTTGCATCCTTTTTTTTTTTTTTTTTTTTTTTTTTTT